CAACCCTGCAAGAGCCCTTAAACCCCAAACCCAAAACCCTAAACACTAAGCCCCAAACCCTTCAATCCCTACAAGAGCCCTTAAACCCAAAACCCAAAACCCTAAACCCTTAAGCCCCAAACCCTTCAAACCCTGCAAGAGCCCTTAAACCCAAAACCCAAAACCCTAAACCCTTAAGCCCCAAACCCTTCAAACCCTGCAAGAGCCCTTAAGAGCCCCGGCAGGTTCCTCAGGTGCTCATCGCCGAGCAGATACGTCAGGTCCCGGAGCCTGAGGCGCCGCTGTCTTAGGATTAGGGCCCTTTTAGGGAGTTGGGGTTTTGGGGTTTAGGGTTTAGGGTTGGGGGTTTTTGGGTTTAGGGTTTGCGCAGCTTTCGTAGGGTTTTTGTTTAGGGTTTTCGGGGTTTAGGGTTTAGGGCTTTTTTGGGAGCGTTTAGGGGTCCTTTTTGGGGTTGCTTGAAGGGGCTCTTTCAAGGGTTTCTTTTTTGGGTGCCTTTAATTTGGGGTGTTGAGATTAGGACTCAGGGGTTTAAGGATTTAGGGTTCCTTTTGTGTTTCCTTTACTATACGGGTTACTGAAAGGGTTCCTTGAAGGTTTCCTTTGCCTGTTCTTTACGGGTTCTGTATCGGCTTTTGGGATTTGGGATTTCAGGTTTGGGGTGTTAAGGGTTTAGGGCCATGGCTCTTATAAGGTTTAGGGTTGATAGGCTTCGCAACGGGCTGTTTGGGATTTGGGGTTTAGAGTTTGAGCTGTTCAGGGTGTTATAAGGGTTTGTTGAGGGTATGTTGCTTTCTCCGGAGGTTTCGATGGTTCTTTTTGCGTCTTCCTTTGCTGTTGTTGTTGGTAAGCTGCTTTAGTCTGAAGGTCGAGTTGCGTCCTTCACATGCCAAAAAGGTGTCATCACTGATATGATTGTCAAGGATCTTTCGGTAAGTTTGGTCTAGAATGGGATTTAGTATCAACGGTTTGCTTCTGAACGTGCGCGGACTCTGTTCTTGTGTTTCTCGCGCTATGAGGCTTTGGTATTGTTGCGATTTCATATGTGACTGTTCTCCTTGCGGCCACCGTACGTAGCTGCCGATGCTGACAGTGGCGTGGGGTTGGTTCTTCTAACTCTTGACGTGTTGGTGTTTGAGCTCTTCCGTTTGAGGTTCTGTGATTTGGGCTAGTAGTACTACATTTATGAAAGTTAGTACTCTCCCTTTTGCTCTTTTTCTTCGTTGTCACTGTCTGCGAACATGTTTTCGGTGCACCACAGCTATGATGGTCACTGTAGCTGTTGCGGCTATTGCTCTCTTACCATTCTTCAAGCCCGCTGCTGATGCTTCTCAGTACTGCCAACACTCCTGCTGCTGCTGAACCCCGCAGTGCTATTCATGAGGCATCTGGGTTATGCATGCAGCGCTTAGCGGAGATGAAACATATTGGCTCACTTGCGTTCCCGGGTCACCCTATCGCTGACCCCCCCACCTGCACCAAGCCACGAGCCATTGCGGGTGCAGTTGAGCCTCGAGTTAGCGCCCAAGGATATGTGAAATCCTCGAAAACCGAAGCTTGACCATGCACTCTGCAATACTGCCCCGAAGCCCTCAGCCCTAAACCCTGGCACTCCAAAAAACCTTTTTTGCATCCGTATAGAACGCTTGAAGGAAACCTTCAAAACCCTCAAGTGAACCCCGAGAAGACGACCCAGCAACTATTTTTGAACGAGCCCCTCCACCCCCGTAAAGAAGCCCTTAAAGCAACCCCTCTAGATCCCCTAAACCCTAAACCTAAATCCCTAATCCCTAATCCCTAGTCCCTAAACCCGTAAACCCTAAACCCTAAACCCTAAACCCTGAACCCTGAACCCTAAACCCTAAACCCTAAACCCTAATCCCTAGTCCCTAAAACCCGAATCCTTCGAATCCCGAGGCTCTCGGCTCCCAAGCCGTAGGTCTCGCTGCTTTGGGTTTAGGGTTTAGGGTTTAGGGCTTAGGGTTTAGGGGTTTAGGGTTTAGGGTTTGGGCTGAGGGTTTGGGGCTGAGGGTTTTGTGGCTAGGGGTTTAAGGTTTATAGGCTTTAGTAACGGTTTGGGTTTAAGGTTTTAGGGCTTTAGGTCTAGAGTTCGGGTTTGGGCTTTGGGGGTCCCTAAACCCTAAACCCTAAACCCAAAATCCCTAAACCCTAAACCCCTAAACCCTAAACCCTAAACCCTTGGTTGTCGGCTCCAGGTGCAGTACGTCGATAGGGAAGTGCCTAATGTGACCTACCAACCGGTCGAGCAGAAGCCCAGTTGCATTTCAGGGTTTCGGGTCTTATGCCTTCTGGTCCCTAAACTCCCATCCCTAAGTGTAATTCCGGAACTCTCTAAACCCCGATTGGAGTTTCTTCTAGGTTGATGATGCTAAGGAACACCAACATAGTATTGGTAATAAATCCGGCCTCTACAGTGACACTATTACAACGGACAGGCGCGTTTGCAGTGTTCCACCCGATAAGAGACGAGATCGTAATCGTCATCGTCGATGGAAGGAAAGAGTCGCAGCAGTACAGCGAAGCCATCTTCAAGGACATCAGCACTACGAATAACGGTGACAGCAGCAATGACGTCGACAAGAACTCTGCGCAGCGCGTTAATTGCAACAGCAACCACACCACCAATGACCAAGCCGGAAGGACGACAGGCAAACTGCAACAATGACACTGGTACCAGCGAGACTAGCAAGAGGCGTGACTAGAAATGAGAACTTCTCCAGGGTTGTTCATATCAACCCAATGACTTTGAACCATCTAAATCAAGCAGGAAGATCAATGCGAACAAGACTACCACCTCCGTCAGCAAAGACGGGAATGTTTGCCTGTAACAAGCATTGTCAAAGCTAGTGCCAGTACGGTTGGAGTTGGTAGCAGAGCTTTAGCAAAGAGGAAGCGTCACAGTACCTTCGACAACAGCTGCGAGATCGATACTAAGCCCTAAGCCCTAAACCCTAAACCCTTATAACCTGAGCCCTAAGCCCCTCAACTCTGAACTACCAGAAGGGCTACAACGCCTGCAGCCTAAAGCCTTCAAGCCCAGGCCATAAAGCCCTAAACTAGAGCCCCAAATCTTCGTCCCAAAACTCCTCGACTGCCTACCCTAGAATCCTCAACTCTTACTGTAAAACCTCAAACTACCGACGACCCGACAACCCTGGTAGAAAACGAAGAACACCCGCAAAGCCCCTGGAGCCCTGAGTAGTTTTGACATCCGATCAGTTTTCTGAGCTCCCACCGCTTTGCTCCTTCCGAGGATAGTGGAAGTTCCGCAGGCTGGGTGGGTTTTCGGGGCGTTGTAGGGTTTTTGGCCTAGGGATGCGCAGGGTATGATCGGGACTCATAGGGATTTATAGAGATTTTATGGGCCTCATAGGCCTTTATGGGAGTTCTAGGGCTTCGTAGGGCAAGGACGATGCTGCTGCGACTGAGCAAATTCGTGCAGGCCGCTTTGGCCTGGTGATAAATTCATGGGTAGTTTGCTAAATTAGGGTCCCTTTTGGGGTCCTTTTTCTGAGGGTGCCGTACCATATTGGGGACCCAAAAGGGACCCTAATTTAGAGAACTGCCCTCATCCAGAGCAGGAGAAAATCGTTCAATCTTTGCGCCAACGCACTTTTCCAAGGCAACAGCCGACCCTAAACCCAAAACCCTAAACCCTAAACCCTAAACCCTAAACCCTAAACCCTAAAGCCGACTCTGAGGGTCTCGAAAGTTGGACCTCAGAAACGGAGCCCTCCCCTGAGCCTGGAGCGACGGCACATAACCCTCAACCCTAATTCCTAAATCCTAAACCCTGAACCTTAATTCCTAAATCCTAAACCCTGAACCCTAAACCCTAAATCCTAAACCCTAAAACCTAAACCCTAAATCCTAAACCCTAAATCCTAAATCCTCTAGAACCCTAAACCCTAAATCCTCTAGAACCCTAAACCCTAAATCCTAAACCCTGAACCCTAAACCCTAAACCCCAAAACCCTAAGCACAGCCCGGTCGCGCCAGTCGACCTTGTGAAGGCCAAAAGCGCTACTACAGTGAGCACGCCAAGAACAGGGTGCGTCATCGTCTACTGCATCGGCTCCTGCTTTGAAAGGGCGTAGGGTTTAGGGTTTAGGGGCTGGCAGAAACTTTCCCCTATCTATACAAAACATAAGGGATCTGCCTGATGAGAAGTTTTAAATGCAGCCTGCTGGAGAGTCCACTGGCATGAAGGCCCCGGGCCAAGGCGACAGAGTAGAAGCATCGCCACCTCCGGGCACGGAACGGCCTTGCCTGCGAGAAACACGCCAGAGGGCCATGCAATTTCCATGCAAAGACACACTAGACCCTAAACCTAAACCCTAAACTCTAAATCCTAAACCCAAACCCCTAAACCCTAAACCCTAAACCCTTAACCTGAGACCCTAAAC